CTTTGTGTGTGTGGCAAGGGCAGGCTACCTGTTGCAGGCTCAGGGCCAGAGGCTATGCCAGACTCTTCCCAGTGGGGGCAGAGCTGGGCAGGGGCAGGGGCAGGCAGCAGCAGCACTGGGGGGGGTGACTATGGGGAATTTTGGGGTGGCTATAGTTCCCTAAGCCCCCCCCGCCACCACTGCTGCCACCTGCCCCATGCAGCTGAGCCTGTCCAGCCCCCTCCCCACTGGGAACTGGCTGGGGTAGTCCCTAGCCCTGAGCCCACAGCAGGCATCCTGCTTTCACCCCACACACAAGTCTGGGGGGCACATGTCCCCATGCCCCCTGGATGAGCTTCCTGCAGCTCTGCTCCACTCTCAGGGTCACACACACTGCCATGGATCTACTTCCCCCCCTTGCCCCTTCTCTCCCACATTCTTACTGGCTGGATGCTGTTCTGCAAGCTGCTGGGCTGCTTTCAGCATTCCCTTTAAGCTGTGTGGCATGCAGCTTAGAGGAAATACTGGCTGCATTCCTGGCTATGTGCATGCTGTAGCTGTACATATGCATGTGGCATTTATTGGTGACATGGGCCAATAAAAGCTGATAATGCTAGTTTTACTGTTATCAGTGCTGATTGATCGGATATGTGACCAAAATATCAGTGCACCTCTACCTAAGTTTTAAGAGACCCAGTGACTTTTTTTTTTTTTAAATAGGACCATTCACTTACTTTTAAGTTCAACATGTGTTAAACTTCCAGCAGAGTATGCTATGTAAGATGTTCTGGGGTTGTCTGTCTCTTCTGTTAAAGCCAATCCACTTGGGGGGAAAGGGGGGCTGAGGCGCTGCACACATTCATCTGCTGACTAAAGCACTGGTTCAAGTCCCTGCTACAGTTAATACAGAGTGGAACTGCTTCAAAAGATGTGATTGAGATACTACTATGGGGTGAGTCTATCACATGGTGACTAACAGCTTGTCTCCTAGTAGATGGCAGATGTAGTTTCCAGTTTCAGAAAGCTGTAACCATTTAAACCCAGAGCACCCAAAATATTGATTAATTAACATGCAGTAACCACTGGAAGGTGGGGACAGGTAGCCCAGCAGCAGATGGGGCAGGAAACAGAAAGCAAAGCAGCAAATATGGCAGGGAACATAAGGAAGCAAGATGAAGATTTTCATTTGGTGAAGAAAATAAAAATGTTTCTGTTGCAATGAAGATCAGCCTTCCCATGCCCAGTTTAGGTTTGGGTTCTGACCTGAACAATGAGCTATCTATTCAATTGTTGCTGTACCTGCTTGTACCATAACTATTCTGCTGATAATTACAGGAATTTAATATCCATGTGTTAAGTCTCATTCCAGCACAGCTAGGTAAATTCACCTAAAACTAGGGGGGGAAAGCAGCTTTCTGGAAGTACGCATGTAGTAACCTTTCCAATAAAGTTGGATTTCATTTGATTATATATCAAACTTCAACACTTGAATCATTCAGGAAGATTTTAATAAGTTGTCTTATTCAGTACCCATTTATTTCTTCATAATGACTTATCTAACACTGATAAATTTAAGACATTAATTGTGAGTGCATTAAGATCAGAACTTACTATGTTTCAGTATTTTAACTCTATGCCTAGGATAGGAAATAATGTAAAATACTAATTACTATTTGGAGTCTTAAGTGGTGATCCCTGTGTATTTTGTTAATCCTGTATGACCTCAGGTATTAGTTCAGCATTTCTATTTTTTATTGATTTTTATGCTGAATACTATAGGAAATATTCATGAATCCCAAGCAATAAATTGTAAGCTTGAATTATGTCGCAGCAAATGGAAATACTGCATATAAAAGGCAGGATGTCCCAGTCAACTGACTGAAAACATAGCTTTCCTAAGCATGGTATTAAATGGGACTTGTAAGAATTATAGTTTTGTTCAGTCTTTAAAGATTAATTATCTTTAGTTGGCTTCTGTCAATGACTTCTCTGATACAAACCCCAGATTATCTTTCTAATATAATTATTTCTTTTAGTAGCTCTCAGGCAGCTTGATACATTGGCAACATGGAAAGAATCCACATAAGGTTCACTTTGTTTAGTTTGGCTGTAGAGATAGAAGAGGCAGACAAAATTAATGGGCTGCTTTGTTACAAATGAACTGATTTATTTTTTTCTCAAAACAATGTAAAAATTTGTACTATGCCTTCTAGGCTTCAGATGGATTCATGTGATGTTAAATATGCTGGAATCTGTATTTAGGGTTAAATAATTAGCATTTTATATACGCGTATAAACAGGTTTTGTATCCTTTCTACTCATAAAGACTGAATGCAAAGCAGCCAAAACTCCCAATTTTCAGGGCAAAGGCAAAAAGGATATATCTGATGTTAGCCTTTTGTTCCTTCAGAGTAAAAACCTATTTTATAAGAGTAATAGGAAAGACACCCCTCCAGTCAGTAAAGATACGTCAGTGTAACAACTGGGTTTTAGAAGCATTGAGGACTTCAGGTAAAACAAATTCTATAATAGTCATTTCTGGAACACTGTCACCAATGCTTTATCTTAATAAAGTACTGTAACTCTTTAGCACTATAATCAGAGTTTAAGATAGTATAAACATCAATATTAAAAATATTATGTGGCTACAGAGTACTGCAATAGCCCTGTAGAAGAAAAAGAAGAAAAAAGAGTCAGAACAAATTATACTTTGCCAGAAAACTCAGAGCTGGAGGAGGAAGGGTGGGGGGGGAACAAAAACTAAGGGTCTCAGCCAATGTCCACTGAAGTCAGTAGAAAAAATTTAATTGACCCTGGTTAGTTTTGAATGAAATCATTAACTTCAGTAAAAAATTAAATAGTGCAAGTGTTATGCTTATCCATGCATTGTATTGGGGTATTGAAAATACTCTAAATTACTCTAATAGATTGTCTAACAAGTTTTGTTTCCTATTACATGTGTATAAATGCTTTAATTTTAATTATTTAAAGTGCAAACAGATTTTGGCCTACTGTTTTATTATAATGTATTATAATAGTGTTTATATAACACAGCTCTCCAAGCTGCTGGGCTGTATTCCTGTAATCTACTATCAGATCAGTTTCAGCTGATATGGCTGTTATTCCTTGTTACTCCAGGAGGCGCTCAGGGGAATAGGGTCT